CCCCCCTCTGCCTCCCCCAGCACCTCCCTCCCCCTGGCTCTCACTCCCAGCGCCCCTATCCCTCCCCCTGAACCCCTACTCTCAGAGCTCCCCCCCTCCTCCTCCCCACAACTCCTGTCCCCCTCCCCCAGTGCTCCCAGCGCAGAGGCCGGATGGGGGCAGGAATGGGAGACCGCCCAGGCGAGAACACAGAGGGCTGCAGGAGGGGCCAGGTGAGGGGGGCCGAGATCAAGGGACCTGCTGATGTGGGGGGGCTAAGGGCACTGCAGATCTGGGCCCCAAGTGAAGGGGGGCAGGCCCCCCGGGTGTGGGAATCTGCCCCCGGCGGCGCTGGCTGCTCACCGGCTCGGCGAAGGCGTTATCCCAGAGCACGGTGGCCGTGGCGTTGTTGTCCTGGCTCCCGTGCACAATCACCACCACGGGCAGGGACAGCGTCTGTGGGAACCGGCCAGGCCGGGCTGAGTGTGGGGCGGGGGTGGGGCTGGACCCAGCTCCGGGTCCTGCCCTTCCCCCACTGCCACTGGGCGAGTCTCGAGCAGACCAAGCCCCCCTGTGCTCCTCGACCCCATGCCCACCCCACGGACCCCGCGCCCCCTGGGGCTGCCCCAGCCACTGACACACTCGGGAATTCCTGGGTCCCTCCCTCAACCCAGAGACGCCATCCTGGGGACGGGCGACACAGCCAAGCCTGACACCAGCCCCAGAAGGGCTCCTAGGGCCCAGTGCCGGGCAGGGCCCAGGGCAGCGGTGCCAGCGCAGGGCCCAGAGCCGGGCAGGGCCCAGGGCAGCGGTGCCGGCGCAGGGCCCAGAGCCGGGCAGGGCCCAGGGCAGCGGTGCCGGCGCAGGGCCCAGAGCCGGGCGGGGCCCAGGGCAGCGGGGCCAGCGCAGCACCAGCTTTACCTTGACCTGGAAGACCAGCTCATTGCCACCGACGCTGAACTGCGACTCGAAGAGGATGGTGAATTTCTCCTCGGTCACCGACTCGGCGCCGCGCCGATCCGAGCGCTTGATGCGCTTCAGGGACTGGGGGAGGCAGGAGAGGGCGTGAGAGGTGGGCGGGGGGGGGCAGGGGACGGGGGCAGTGCCGAGGCCTGGCTCTCACCATGTTCCTGAAGTGGGCGCTCAGGGTGCCTGTGGCCTGGTGGTACTCCATCACGCAGCAGTTGTTCAGGATCTCCCCGCTGCTCTCGCTGCAATGGGAAAGGCAGGTCAGAGAGGGCAGGCACTGGGCCAGCTCCGACTCCCATGGGGCGTTGGGGGGGCAGGGCGGTGCTGACAGTCACCATGGGGGGAAGCTCCCTCTGGGCCCAGGAAACCCACTCAGGGGCCTGGAATCCGGCTCCGGGCTCAGAGAACGGGCAGCGGCTCGTGGCCCAGGGGGACATGGGACCCCATGTGCCAACCAGGCCGAGCAGAGGGGGTCTCCTGGGGATTGGACCCCACTGGGTGTGCTGGGAAAGGGGCCAGTCACCAACCCCACAGGCGTGGGGCTGACCCTCCCTCTGCTCAGCGATACCCCGTGGGTGAGAGGGGGCAGCTCCAGCCACACGCTGTGCTGGACTCTCTGGGGGATCCAGGCTACGTGAGCATGGGACGCAGAGAGAACAAGGAACCAGCCCCACAGGGCCCTGCCAGAGCCCCCCAGAGACCCAACAGGAGCCGCGTGGCTCAGCGGGGCGAGCTCGGGAGTCTCCCAGGACCTGCCCTGGGCGAGTGGCAGGGGTGGGGGGGGGCATTACTTGCGGGTGCTTTCGTTCTTCAGCAGGGCCTTGGCTTGCTGCTCGCTGATGATGGTGGCCTTCACTTGGGGCGGGTTCATGTGCACGTTCAGCTTCCCCCCCACCAGCAGCCGCACCGTGGCCGCGAACTTGGTCTGCGTCTTCAGCACCTGGGGGGGCTGCTTCTCGATGATGAAGGTGCTGGGGGGAGGAACCAGCGTCACGGGACCTGCGGCTGTGAGATGGGGCCGGGGGCCGGAGCTACGACCGCCAGACGTGCACGGGGGCGGGGGGACGACCTGGCACATCCCCACCTCAGCTCACAGCCACTGTGCCCAGATCCTCCTTCCCAGTCCCCAGGCCGTATCCCCTCCCGCCCAAAGCACTTGCCCCACGAGCCCCTTTCTCTTGCCACCCACCCCGCAGTGCCAACAGCATCCACACCCCCCAATCCAGCCAGCCCCTGGCCCCTCGCAGCCCAATTCCTACCTGCCCAGGTCAGAGCCTGAACCTCATCCCAACCGTGCCCCGAGTTCAGCCTCAGCCCCCCAGCCTGTGTGGGGCAGCCGGGCCCAGCCCAGCTCTGTCACCCCAGCGCACATGGGGCAGACATGCCCAACCCCGATCGGGGCCCAGCCTGGTTCTGCCCCCAGCGGTACCTGGTCACCAGGGCGGAGATGATGTCTGTGATGGTGCCGTTGAGCTCGGACAGCATCTCCTCCACGGGCCCCGGGATGGGCAGCTGCTGGCACAGGTGCTCGGCCCGACGGATCTGCTGCCGGTTCTGCCAGATGATCTCGGCCAGCTTCTCACACCTGGGGCGAGGGGCCCCCGGGCCAGGTCAGTGCTCTGGCAAGGCCCAGAGACATCACGGAGCCCCAGGCCTGGGTGTCCCGTGTCTGCTGGTCACGAGGCTCCCTGTCTGCGCGCCCCCCTCGGGGTCCCCCCAGGCTGGCGCGGTCCGGCCTTAGCCTGGCCCTGTGGGGAGCTCAGCCACCCCAGGAATCCAGTCCCACATCCCTGGCGATGGGGGCAGGTGACCCCTAGTGCCCTGGACTAACAACCCCAGCGGGGGCAGCGTCACCCTCCAGCGTCACCCCCCGGGGGGGCCTCTTGGGACCCAGGGCAGCCCCCCCGGATTCCCTGCTGCCGGCGGCACCGTTCCCTGGTTTCCCAGCCAACCGCCCAGGGGAGAAGCGGCAGCTGCCGGGTGCCCAGCCCCGTTTCCCACGGGGCAGCGCTGGGAGGGGCGGACGCACCAGGACTGCAGCACGTCCAGGGTGCCCTCGGGGGGCCCGCCGTTCCCCGCCAGCTGCTGCCGCCGCTTCCACTGGATCAGCTCGTCGTCCAGGATGGTCGTCTGTTGCTTGCGCAGCAGCTGCAGGGTTTTCTGGTGCTTCTCCGCCAGCTCCTGCGAGGGGACGGGGTGTTAGCGTGGGACGGGGCAGGCAGCGGCACCGCACGGGGGCGTCATCGCCCCCTGCTGGCACCGGGGAGAGGAGTGGGGTCCCCCCGGGGCTGGCGCTCACCACTCGGTACTGCTGTAGTGTCTGGGCCTCCCGGTGCAGCCAGGCCTCCAGCGACGCCTTCTTCTGCTGCAGCGTCGTCTCGCGGGACATGCGCTCCTGGGGGCCCAGTTGGGAGAGCTGGGAGAACTGGGCTGGGGAGGAGGCCAAGAGCGTTAGGCCTGAGCCCCGCCTGCCCCGGGGGCTCCCCGACCCGCAGCAGCATCCCCAGAACCCCTGCACCAGGCCTGCCCCTGGGGATGGGGGCGGGGGACACTCGGGACTTGCTCCCCAGCCCCACGGAGCCGGTGGGACAGTGCTGAGCTGGGGATTCCCATGGGACTGTGGAGGGAGGGGAACCGTCCCGTGGGTGCTCAGATACCTGCAGCCTCCTCACGGGGGCGCGGAGGGTGGGTGAGACGATGCCCCAGCCCCCAGATGCTACGGCAGAGTCTCCCCTGTGCCGGGGGGGGAGGAAGGGGGCTGAGACCCCCCCCAGACACCCCTGGGCCCAGGGCGGAGTGGCCAGCAGGGGGCACGAGGCACGGAGCTGCACAGGCAGCATTCTGCACCAGCTGCAGCCCCCCGCCGGACCCAGCCGGACCCCAGCGCCTGGCGCCCCCTCGGCAGCTGGGACGGGGCAAGTGCTGCGGGACGTTTGCTGGCACAGGCCGGTGTCTCCCCGAGGACGGGATCTCAGGGCGAAGCTGCCTCTGCTCTGCGGGTCCCTGCCCCCATCAGTCCATCCCCACGGCCCCTCCCTCTCCCCACGGCTAGGGCCCCCCCACCCCCACCTTGCAGGCGCATGTTCTCCTGGTACTGGATGATGAAATACTCCTGCGTCTGCTGCAGCTTCTTCAGCTCGTTCTCCGTGTCCTGGGTGACGAGACGCAGCTCCTCGAAGGTCTGGTTGATCTGCAGGTGCTTCTGGGACATGGCGTCCGCCAGGCTGCTGGCTGGGGAGGGGCTCTGCAGAGGGGGGGCGTCAGGTCAGGGAGAGGCAGGGCTCGGGGACTGCCATGGGGGGCAGCGACGGAGCACAGAGGCCGAGGCTCATGCCGTGGGGCAGTGGCTGGAGCCACGGGCACAGGGTGAGGTGCCCGTGGCTGGGCTGGGGCAGTGTCCATGGGCCCCAGAGAGACGGGGGAGCGAGACAAGGCCCCCCTGCCTGGCTACTCACGTTAGTGGCCTCCCGAACCAGCCGCTGCTCGTGGTACAGGATGTGACGGATGCAGCGCACCAGCTCCATGGGGCACCGGTCGTACGTGTTCTGCAGGGGGGAAAGCAAAGGCCCTGAGCCAGGCGCAGAGCAGGGCTAGTCAGGGGCTCTCACCGCCCCAGGCTGGGGGCAAAGGGGGTCCCAGGGGCACTGGGCGGGGGGGCTGCTCCTGCCCTAACCTACCCTGCCGGCATCCCCGCTCCCAGGGCACATGGGTGAGGATGGGGGTCACCCCAGCCGGCCCATGCCAGGACGGCAGCTCCCCATGGCCAGGCAAGGAGCCCGCGGGGGACGGCAGCGGCTGGGGGGGCTGCGACATGGCAGGGGAGGGAGCTCGGGGCAGCAGCGGAGGGGGCTCAGGGATGCGCTGGCCCCACGCGGTGAGGGGAGGGGAGAGACGGCACCTGCCATCACGCACTCTGCTGCTGTCTCAGCCCCTTGCTCCGCGCCAGGCTTGGTCAGCCCACGGGGGAGCGCCCAGTGGGAGTGGCCGGCCCCTGGCAGGGCACGGGGGGCAAGGCTGCCCCATTGCGGCTCCAGGCACCAACCTGCAGCTGTGTGGCATAGTGCCCCAGCTTGATCTTCAGCAAGAACCCGTCCTCGCCCACTTGGTGATCCGCCTTCTTCTGCAGCTCCTGGATCAGTCCCTCCAGCAGCTGGGTGGCTTTGAGGTTCTCCTGGGGGTTATCGAGGTCGATGGAGTCCCTGGCACAGAGAGAGAAGGGGGGGGGGGGCAGGGCTCAGCTGGGGCCCGACCTGCCCGCCCCAGCTCGGCGCAGGGACTGTATCTGCTGGGGGAACCCAACCCCCGCCAGTGAGGCCCCCGTGTGTCCGTCCCTCAGCAAACGGGGACGATCCAGCCAACCCGCCACACAAAGCCCAGAGCGAATGGGAGCAAAGCCCCGCCCCGAGCCTGCCCCCCTGGCCCCACCATGGCAGTGCCCCCTCCACCATATGGGGCATACACAGAGGGACCTGCCGAGTGTTCCTGGGGTGACTCCTCGTCACCGTCTGGGCTGAGTGAAGTTGCGAGCCCAGCCCTGATGCCTTTCTGCCAGCTCCCCTCGTGCAGGATCCCTCACGAGGCAGCTTCACGGGGAGTCTAAGTGCCCTGAGGTTCGACCGGGGCGGCTGCAGAGGTAGCAAGGCTGATGCACGGCACTGGGCAAAAGGCTTTACAAGTGATGATTGGTTAGTGCAACCCGCGTGCCTACAGAAGGGTAAACTGAGGCATAGCTAACCGGCAATGGGCCCCGGATCTGTGCTCAGACCACTAGGCCGTGCTGCCTGTCTCTGTCACAGCCAAAAGCAGCATTTACCTTTTTTAACTGATAAAACAAACAGTGGGGTGGGGGTGGGAAGCGTTTGACAGAGGACGCACGCCCCAGCCTGGGGACAGAGCCGGGATGCAGCGTTCATGTGGCAGCACCATTCTAGACCCCTCGTACTGCAGGGGGAAGAGGAGAGGGGAGTTAGGTGAACCTCCTGCAAGCAGCAAGGAGCCCCGTCAGCAGCTGCCCCCCCCAGCTCCACTGTGCAGCCCCTGGAGGAAGAGATTTCACTAGCACGGTGACAACAGCATGGAGCGGGGCGGGCTCACCTACCATGCCTGGCTCTCGATCCACTGCGACAGGTAATGCCGCACCTCGATGGGGAAGTGCTGGCCGTACAGCGCCTGCATCTGGCGCAGGGCCTCTCCCTGCAGCTGCTGGGCCTGGATCCACAGGGCCATCGGTCAGAACCTGACGGAGGCACACGACAGTTACCCAGGAAGGTTCTGCCCCTACTCGAGGATTTGCAAGCTCAGTGGCCATTGTCTCTCTGGGCTACGGGCCTACAGGAAAAGCAACTTATCTGCCTCCCTCACGCCCTTTCCTGTCTAGTCACTCAGCAGCGGGGGCACAGGATCTGATCTACTCCCAGAAGGGGATGTGAAGAAGGGAAGGGGACGAAGTTGCTGGCAGAGGGAACCTGCAGCAGGAGCCAACCACCAGCCTGGCCCAGTCAGTGTCCCTGAATGACTGGAAAAGCCACCAAGCGTCACCACCCCAAAGGGACAGATGCTGCTCCGGGGAGACGGGGCAAATCAAAGCTCAGGTCCAGCTCTACCCAGGAACTCCCAATTTCTGGGGCCCTGTTGCAGGCCCGGCAGGGCCTGGCTCTCCAGAGGGCAGGGGCTGAGCAGTCCCTAAAGAGTCTCTCAGACAGGGCCCCCCAAGTCCCCTCGAGCTCTCCAAGACATGGGCCAGGGTTCTCACCCGGAGGAGTGGTGGTGAAAACGAAGCGGGTAAACTAAACTCCGCTCCAGGTGCCCCAAACGAGAAAGGAGCAAACACCATTTGCTCGCCACCTCCTCCACCACACCCTCATCCCGGCAGGAATTCCTGCGGGGCATCTCCCGGCAGAGACTGATTCCGCTTTCAGGAAACCAGGTGCCCCTTTGCCGAAGAGCGGAGCGAGTGATGCAGGGGCGTTGGCGGTACCGGTGTCCTGGGGCGCACACACCCACGCGGGTTAGACTTCACGCCCAGGAGCCGGCCCCACGCACAAAGCTTAGCACGCGGGTCACTGCTTCCCTTCCCCTGGATCCGTATGCTGAAGCCAAGAGGGAGTTTCTCACGGTCCAAGAGGGATTTGAATAGCTAGAGCCTGACCCCCCCCTGCTGCATGAATCCCCTCCACCCGCCGTGCGGGAAACACATGCAAACCATCCCCTTGGCGCACTGTCATACAGGGACTGGCCCTGTCTGGTCAGGCATGACCCAGCCCCAGGTCAAGCTAGACCAAGGGAATTCTGGGAAATGTAGTTCCTAGGGAGGGTCATGGGAATTGTAGGCTAATGCAAGGCATGCTGGGAGGACTTGCTGGGGAATATAAGGTGCAGAAGGGCTCTAGGGCAAGGCAGTTGCAGCTCAGGAGAGCGTGCGTGTGGAGGGGCAGTGGGGCAGGTACAGGACAGGGTTTCTGGGGAGGCCTAGGGACAGGCCGGTGCTGCCACCTGCACTGGTTTGGGGGTCCCAGCCAGGGGAAGCCCCTTCCCACATCAAGATGGGTTGGGGGGGACTGAAGAGTGCCAGGCCCGGGGCTGGGAGGCCGAAGGCGTATTTGGGGAGGTTTCGCTCTCCTGGCAGGGGGAGGCTCTTCTACCAGAAGGGGAGCCAGCCAGCCGGAGGGGCACGCAGCCCTGCTCCAGCGAAGGACCTGAGGCCCAGCTGTATCCACCAGCCAACACCAGGTACGTGCCCGTGTACAAGCGGAGGGCTTGGGAGCGCGCGAGACGAGGCGCTCCAGGTGTACGGCAAATGCTCTGTGCTACCCCCTGGGGCCCGGCTATACCTGGGTTCCCCGACGTGGCTGCATTTCTATAGTACACATGGGAGCCCAGGGGTCTGGATGGCGTAATCTGGCAAGTAAAGCGAGCCCCTTTTGGCATTAACTGCCTTGGTCTAAAGGGAGAACTCGCGAATAGCCGGCACCCTCAGCCCCTCATCCACACGCTTCGCTTCACAACACATCCTGGGCCCGCTTCCCACGGGGTGACCGAGCCCCGGTCGGCGGTAGCCAGAGCTGGAGCAGTAACGGGTGAGCTCTCTCCAGCACGCAGCCTCCCCCTTCTCGCTGAGCTACTGCCCCGATGAGGGCGTGTCTGCCTTGGGGACACGCACCATTCAGCCCACGGCATGACTTGGCCCTGGTTTGGGTAGGCCAGTGCCAAGCTCGGGGGATGCCCATTCTGAGCTAAGCGCAGCTTTGTCTAGATTCACCCAGACAAGGTTTAAGCTAAACCAAAACAAATGTCCACACAGGGGTTGCACCAGGGCTACTCAATTGGTTTAAATTCACCCCACAGGCTAAACCTGGGCAATTAGCCAATGCGCCTGCAGCCAGCACTCCCCACTGCGCTCCTGGCAGCCCCACCAAGGCAGGGCAGGCGCCAAGCTAGGTGCAGGGGACGTGCGACTGTAGCACTTGTCCACTCCTGCTCCTTTAGCAGACGCAGCTTCCTAGTGCAGTTAACAGGACTCGCCTTCCCTGGCGGCTGGCCGAGATGAGCCCCGCTGAGACTGAGCCCCCTCGGGCTGCGGGCGTCTCCTGTAGACACACAGCATTCCTGGGATGCTAGAGCGGGGGCTGTTTCTTCATCCCCTCCCCCCCCCCCCCGGCCATGTGTCTCCTGCATCTCCCTGAGCCCCCATCCTCACCTCCCTGCCCCGTTGGCTCCTGCGGTTCCGACCGCCCGTTAACTCGGGCGAAACACCCGTTACCCGGCAGGCACGTTACCCGAAGTTACAGCGAGTCCAGCCAGACACCTGCTGGCCATGCTGCATGGGGCTGGCTCCCTGCCAGCTCAGCTCAGGTGGAGACAGTGCTAAATTCAGATCCAAGGACCCAGGGAGTGGCATTAATGTTAAGACTGGAGCCCTGCCCTGCACAACCACGACCGCTCCAGCTCTCCTGCCCAGGGAGCTGCAGTCTTTGCTTAGTGGGCATTAACCGGACATGGTTAAATCAGAGCTCCTCTCATTCTTGCTTCACACTCACCCTCCCACACACACAGACAACCCCATCGACAGCTCCCCTTGCGTTCTGCCAGCCAGCCAGGCAGCAGGACTCCGACCAGCCAACACATGGGCGCATGTCCCCGTGGCCTCTGCCCAGGGAACCCGTGAGAGGCCTGGGGTGGGGATGCATTTCAGGAAGAGACTCTGCACAGAATGTCACTCATAAGCTGTCCGTGCCAGCATCTGTCCAAGGCCTAGGAGGCTTTTACTAGTTGGGCAGCAAACTCACTCCTTCCAGCACGGAGCGGTGGCCCTAGCGACAAATCTCTCTCTCGGCGCCGGGTCAGAAGCTGCTGGTCCCTTCCCCGAGTGCAGGGGATACTCACGGCAGGAACAGGTGTTCTCCTCGCTCTGCCCTGCCCCATGCACCGCCCTGGCAGCGCCTTGCCAGCCACCTGGGCACCCCGACCCTGGGCACCGAGGGGGATCCTGCCTCTTGGCAAAGGGTTTGCGCCCGCAGGGACAGCCCAGCGCTGCTGCTCCACGGGCTGCCCTGCTACAGGAAGGAGCCAACAGCAGCTATTTCCTTCCAAAATGTCAGCTGCCTCTCGCAGACCAAACAGCAAGCGCTGGGCTCCTGGCAGCTTCCTCCCCGCCGCTGCAGCGAGCGTGCGGCCGTGCGCAGATCCAGCCACGCTCGCTGGGAGCGCCAGCGCGAGGCCGCGTGGGGCCGGCAGCAGCACAAGTGTCAGAGGGTCACGTTACAGCCATGCTCCTTGCCCAAGAGGTATTTATATTTTTTGATCTGGGAGGACGGAACAAAAGGAAACCAGCTGGAAACTAGCGCTTTCGGCTAATCCTGATTTACAGTTCTGGCTTTAATGTGACTGGGACGTGACATGGGCAGAGAGACCCCTGCGTCCTCTCGGTTGGCCAGTGCCTCACAACCGCAGGCTGAGGAACTGCCAACAGGGTCAGTGTGTCCCCTCTGACAGCTGGGGAGATGGAGACGGGCACTAAGTGACTTGCCCAAGGCTGTGGAACAAATCTGTGTCGGAGGCAGGATTGGACCCCACAAGCTCTGGGCTCCCAGCCCTTTGCCCGTGACTATGGGTACTGGAGGGGAGACTTCCAGCTCAGGGAGATACACCTACGCTAGCTCTGGCGAGAACTAGCATGCTAAGAACAGCCGCTCACACGCCAGGCAGCAAGGGATTGTGCTTCGGGCGGGCAGTGTTCCCATCCTGCTGAGGCTACCCTGCCGTTCGCAGCACGCTGGCTCAATCCGCGCGAGTGGGGGTATGTCCACCCGAGCTGGAAATCACAGCTCCAGCCGGGACGTGCGCTGAGGCAAGAGACCAGCGCCGGCAGATGTCCATGGGGCTGGAAGGAGGGGCTCAGACCTGGGAGCTCCTGGGGGCGTGGGAATGAGCCGTAACGCCCGTGAAGCGAGGTGGGGTAGAGACCGCATGCCCCTTCCGACCCCAGTCGCTGCCTGTCTCATGAGGGTGGCACAGTCATTGGCACTGCCCCAAGTGGGGTGGGTTCTCCCCACCTGCAGCTTGGTCTCTAAAGCACCCACCCAGCCAGGGGCCTGTCCGAAGGAGGGAGTTGCAGGGATCTCTGTGTGTCTCTCTCTCTCCTGTGGACCAGCGCCCAGGAGCCTGCCAACCCAGAGCAAGGGGCAGCTAACCTTGGGCTGGGTCTCTGCTGTGCAGCAGTGTGTGGCAGCTAGACAAGTAGGTCACTAGAGCAGGCTTCCTCCTTCCTGAAGGGCGGGAGCTGCCCCCGTGGGCACCCCTCTGGAGCAGGCACCGGGGAGAGACGTGGCGCCAGCTGCCCAGCAAGAAAGGGGCTGCTCAGAGAGCGTGAATCCAACACCCCTGTGGATTAGGGATTTCCAAATGCAGCTAAACGGCTCAGACACTCCCTGAGGGGGGCAGCCCCTGGGGACAAAAGGAAAAGCCACAAGATCAAACCAAGCACTGCACAGCTAGCACCTGGCCGCCGACGCCTCCCAGAAACATGCAGGGCGGCCACTGGCCACCACAAATAGATGAAGCCGCTACACGGCCAGGCCTGAGGAGCAGCCGTCACTTTAACCCTGGGCTGTCTCAGCAATTGTCGGCCCGCAGCTCCCAAGCAGCTGCCCCCACGAAGGAAAGCAATGCTGAGCTATGGGCAGAGGGAGGGGAGTGGGGCCACACGGGGACAGGGTGGCTTCAGCTTCTGTTTACTTC